CCCCCGCGCGGCGGATTTTCCAGGAATGTCCGGGAATGCTCCGGGCGTGACTCAGCACGGGGGGGGACACGAGGGGGACACGTCCCGAGGGTGTGGCCGCTGTGTCCCCCCCCTTGGGGACACCCCCGGTGACTCACGGGGCGGGCCGCCTCAGTTTCCCCACCCCCCGAAAAATCAAAAAAAAAACCCAAAAAATGAGGGAACCTCCCTAAAAGTGATCCCGGAAAAAGAGGAAGATTTGCAAAAAAACGGGAACCGCCCAAAAAAGGAGGAATCCCCCCCAAAAAGGAGGAACGCCCCCCCAAAAGGAGAACCCCCCCATAAAAAGGAGGAATCCCCCAAAAAGGGAATCTCCAAAAAAAGGAGGAACTCCCAAAATGACCCCACCCCAAAAAAAGGGGGGAACACCCCAAAAGTGACCCCCAAAAAAGGAGGAACACCCCCACAAGGGGGAATCCCCCGAAAAAAAGGGAACCACCCCAAAAAAGGAGAAACCCCCCCCCCAAAAAAAAGTGACCCCCAGAAAAGGGGAAACACCCCAAGATGGGGGAACCCCAAAAAAAAGATGGAACCGCCCCAAAAGTGAACTTCCCAAAAGGGTGGGACCCCCCCGGGTGGGACCCCCCCCAAGAAGGGGGTTTGGGGATGGAGACCCCCAAAATTTGGGGACAGGGATGGGGTTCCCCGCAGTGATGCTCAAAATTCACCCCCAAAGTCGGGGCGCGGGACCCCAAATTTTTGGGACAGGATTGATCCCCCCAAAATGGGGTTTGGGGATGGAGCCCCCCCAAAAACGGACATCGGGATGGGATCCCCGGTACCGGGGCCAGGAGGGGGACCCCAAACCGGGATTTGGGGATGGGGTTCCCCCTTTTTGGGGTGCGGGACCGAGCCCCGGTCCCGTTACCGGGCAGAGGTCCCCAAACCGGGATTTAGACCCCAAAACGGGATTGGGGGGATGGGGTTCCGCATTTTGGGGTCCGGGACCGACCCCCCGTTTCCGTTACCGGGCGGGGGGACCCCAAAGCGTATTTAAGGATGGGGTTCCCCATTTTGGGGTGCAGGACCGAGCTCCCGTTACCGGGGCCGGGTGGAGAACCCCAAACCGGGATTTGGGATGGGGTTTTCAATTTTTGGGGTCCGGGACCGACCCCCCGTTTCCGTTACCGGGCGGGGGGACCCCAAAGCGTATTTAAGGATGGGGTTCCCCATTTTTGGGGTGCGGGGCCGACCCCCCGTTCCCGTTCCCGGGCGGGGGTGCCGCTCTCACTCACCGCGCGGTGCTCGGGGCTCGGTGGCCGTGCTCGGTGCCGGTGGCGGTGCGGGCAGTGCCGGGGCGCGGTCCGGTCCGGGATAGGCACGGCGGGGGCGGGCCGGACCGGGGGGCGCGGAGATCGGA